TTTCAAAATTGAGAAAACCAACGATTAGATTTTTGCAAATATCTCCTCAACAGTTCATCCCACGAAAAAAAAAAAAAAAAGAAGAAAACCAACAGAAAGAACATAAAATTTCCTATCGAAATCACCCTCCCCTGTTTTTACAGCTTACTTTTTTGGTTCTAAAATTAACGTTTTCTTCAAAAATGAGCTTTAAAATGGTGCATTTTTGCTGATTTAAGGAGAAACTTTGCTTCAAATCTCCAGCCACGATTATCTGAGAAAAAAACTGTTATGCTCATTGAAAAGAGCGTAAAATTTACTTCTAGAAAACTTATGTCAATAGTTCCTAAACTTGATTTAATTCTGTGAAATAGCAGTTCATTAGCTTCGCCCTTAAATTGTGATTTTGTCGACCATCTCCTTTAAAACCAAGAATAATAGAAGAAAAAGCCTAAAAACGTGGCCCAAACTGTGCAACAAGGTTGTAAAATAGTGCTGGGCCCATACTATGTGGGGGAGGGGGCAAAGCCAAAAAGTTCAAACATTTTCGATCAGAGCCAAAAATGTTGAGCTCTAATGAGGATCAGTACAAAACTGATGGGGAAGAGTGTTCAGCTCAAGCAGTTTGCATTGGAATATTAATGTGAGGCAACGTCGAGAGATCTATAATTTTGGGTCTTTTTATACCTCAGCAGAAGATCACACTCGTCAATGAACCCAAGAAAATCTTGCAAAATCCAAGACCGCATCAAAGCACAAGCTCGAGATACAAGTTTTGTACTGCAAGATGGTAAGTTTCGTATTAACACTTATTAGAGCTCGAAAGTTTTGATTCTGATTGAAAATTTTTGAACTTTTGATCTCACTGACTAGTGTGATCTACTGCTGAGGTATAAAAAGACCCAAAATTATAGATCTTTCGACGTTGCCTCACATTAATATTCCAATGCAAACTGCCTGAGCTGAACACTCTCCCCCATCAGTTTTGTACTGATCCTCATTAGAGCTCAACATTTTTGGCTCTGATCGAAAATGTTTGAACTTTTTGGCTTTGCCCCCTCCCCCACATAGTATGGGCCCAGCACTATTTTACAACCTTGTTGCACAGTTTGGGCCACGTTTTTAGGCTTTTTCTTCTATTATTCTTGGTTTTAAAGGAGATGGTCGACAAAATCACAATTTAAGGGCGAAGCTAATGAACTGCTATTTCACAGAATTAAATCAAGTTTAGGAACTATTGACATAAGTTTTCTAGAAGTAAATTTTACGCTCTTTTCAATGAGCATAACAGTTTTTTTCTCAGATAATCGTGGCTGGAGATTTGAAGCAAAGTTTCTCCTTAAATCAGCAAAAATGCACCATTTTAAAGCTCATTTTTGAAGAAAACGTTAATTTTAGAACCAAAAAAGTAAGCTGTAAAAACAGGGGAGGGTGATTTCGATAGGAAATTTTATGTTCTTTCTGTTGGTTTTTTTTTTTTTTTTTTTTTTTTCGTGGGATGAACTGTTGAGGAGATATTTGCAAAAATCTAATCGTTGGTTTTCTCAATTTTGAAAAATTCAAATTGACGGCGTCCTGAGCACCAGACAATTTTCGTGAAGTTTATATGGGCATTTTCGGACTTGTTTAGCACCTAGGCAACGAAAAAAATTGGTTTGGTTCGAAGGACAAACCAAAACTGGAAATTTGTTGTGCTGTGTAAACAAAGTAAAGTATAAAGAGCATAATGATGAAGTGACATTCAAATTCATCATCAGAATTTGTTCAGTAGTTCGAATTTTTGAGAAAATCAAACCACAAAAAGGACATTCTTCAGTTGCAGTGTTTCAGAATCTTCGCCAATTTTTCATCCATGATGATCAAGGAAATGTTTGTGATTCGCTGAAACTCCTACTAAATATTCTTCATGATTTTACAAGTCTCTAAGTGAATTTTTACAGAAAATTCATTCAGTTGTTTTCTCTCTGAAAGCATGAAACTTTCCTTTGGGCAATAGTTCAAAGAAGTAGTTATAATTGGGCAAGCAAGAATTTATCATTGTATAATCAATTGAGACCTAAACCTCAGGCATATATCCTAGAAAAAATGAAATTTTCCGATGAATATTGGCAAATATAAGATGAAAGTCGAAAGACGGAAAAACTGAATGAAAATCAAAAAGACTAGGACCTTTGACAAGTCCACAGGCAAGGCCGTTTTCTTGCTAAATGCGCCAGGTAATTCCAGGCACGGTGACCGGTATTTTGCATGTACTATAACAATTTTTATTGTTTCAATTGTACCAAATCATACTAAATAAATAGAAATCATACAGTTGTGCAATATAGGCACCATCACCAGTTTCTGCACGGAACTAAAAAGCAGAGGGAAGTAATTTTAGTTGATAAAGTAAATATTTTTATCAAAATTTTTAATATTAAAGACAAAGATAATTAATTGAATCATTTTATCAGTGTAATTGATATACTTTTGTTTAGTTATTTTTCTTTTTATTATATAACTAGAGACTACAGGTGTCAGGTGGGTAACGTAAACTATGTTCTAGCATTGTGGCAATTAGTGGAAATTGTGGTTTGAAGCATTCAAATATCCCTTTTTTCTTGCATGTTTTTCTGGCCTGGCAAGATCAGTTACACTTCTTAGACACATTGGTAGAGAACGTGATGCGAGTTTTCACCTAAAATACACCACTTCAATTACCTACGGAATGTCGAAAACTAACAAAATTAGAATGCTCACCTGAAAATACATTAAATTAAGCAGCTTGTTCACTTCAGCAGCTAATACTTCAACAGTCTTTTCATAGATTTCCACCCAGTTCGGCTGCTCATTGGACTTCGGTTGCAGGATGGCTAGAGAGCAACATCGCCATGTGCACAGCATGACCGCATGTTCCGAGCCATCTTCCAACAGTTCCTTCTGGAGCATTACAAATAGATATTTTACAGGATTGGTAGATTGACAACTTTAAATTCACGACATGGCAAAGCTCTGAATTTTTAAAACGACCAAAACCTGTGTCAATTAAATTTCAATTAAAAAAGCTATTGACTGTTTTCAGTGCATATACTATAAAGATTCAAAAATGGATACACCTACATTTAAAGGTCGATCTGCAATGGGTTCCTTGGATAGTTTGAAATCTTCAAAATTGAAATCAAGGTTCAAATGACCTTTCATCAACGAAATACATAATTAATGATTTTATTCTAAAATAGAAGCCTCTACGAATTTTCAAAATGTCTGCTTTAAGTTGAAAACACTTGCATGGAACTAACTTTTTGGATATGATATTTTCTGATCCTGCTGTAGCCCTGTAATGATTTAGGTAAGAGTAAAATAGTCATATCATTTTTTCTGAGCCCCAATTTAAGCATGTTAACGGGAGTTCTTGATGATATTCATTCCCTCCTAAAAACTTATGATTTTCTCTCATTATACTCAAAATTATCTTGGAAAAGCAAGATTTTTCTAAAAATCATAGAATATTATTAATCATCCATTGAATTAAACAGATTAACGATGGTCAAGCAGCAGGAATGTGAAGCTTCCCAAACTGGCGTGAACGGTAGCTTCTTCAATGTACCACCCATTGACGCCAGTGACGGACCCATTCCAGTCTTCGAAGTTGGTAACGAAGTTAGCTTGATAAATGACACGGCATGGCTGAGCTGTGATACACGGTTGTTCATCACATAACCTAAGCTCATCTAAGGTGTTGACGTTGGATAGGGCATCAGTTAATGTTAGCTTATCTGCTGCCATTTAGAGAGGTTGACTCATTTATGCAAAAAACCATCAGAGACATAATGGTCATAGAGAAATGAATGGTTTTAAAAACATACCCACTCTAATCAATTAAAAACGGAGAGTACACAGAAAACCAAAAATAAATATTCTTGAGTGTTGCACGATTCAATACCAAAGACGGTAAACGATGGAGAGTAGATAAAATTGGTCAAATAACTAAGGACAAACTTGTGTAAAACTATCAAAAGTAATACTGCTAACTTGAGGTAGAGGTGTCATCAGCTAAGTTGGCACTTGAATACATAACATACACAAGCAGCTATAATGTAGGCATCCAACAGTAATCAAGGATTGACTAAGCTCACGATCAGGCTGCCGTCAATCCCCTATAGTGACGCTATTGGTGGCACGTCACAAAAAAGCGATAAATACATCGATTTATTCACATTAAGTAGTAGCAATGAAAGAGATTACGCCAATGTTATTGTATGGATCCAATTCGATATGATAGAGAATCGCTATGATGATGTCACCACTAATATCGTCTATTGCTTGAAAGTGGAATGTAAACAAGTGCCAACTTAGCTGACGACACCTCTAGATAGCAGAGTAAACAGGTAATTGCGAAAAATTTAGACTTGAAACAATGGAAATATAACATAGGAATGGAAGAATGGGCTAGTCCTGCTGGTCTCAGAATCTAGTTATGATACTTCATTCTTGCAGATCAACTAAAAATGATAAGATCTAGCCAAACAGCAAATTTCTACGTTGAATACTAACCAAGGTATCTCGCCTATAAAAACTTGATTAATGATGTCATCCACCACGGTGGGACATATCATGTTACGCTCTACCGCAGTGGATGACGTCATAAATCAAGTTCGTCAAGGTGAGATATCTCCGTTAATATTCAAGGTAGAGAGTTGCTGTTGAGACAGATCTTTATATTTAGAGCTGATCTACTGGAACCAAGAATCAAAACATGATTCTATTACCAGTGCAACTGGCCCATTGAATAAAGAAAGAGAAATGATCAGGTGAAACAGAGGCTTAGCTATCGGTTCGCAGGGAAGAGAAGAAATTGTCTAGGTGAGCTTTCAAAATTATGAATTTGGCCTCATTATCACAGCAAGACTACATGCAGACAAACTAACTCTTTCCTTCACAGATTAAACGACATGAAAGTGAAAGAAGGAGAGAGTTACAGGACATTTGGGGAATGAGGAAGTTACAATTCTTGAGGAGGAAATTTAGGCCGAAAATACCTGCAATGCAGTCCAAACTAGGATGATCTTTAGGCGTAGCAACAATATTCACAGTTCTTGCTATATGCAGGGGATTGGGAAACAAAACCTGTAAAACACTCTTCACTGTGCTCAGAGGCTCCTTCTTTAAAGTTAGCTTCAGTCAACATGTCTCACACAGGAATCGATCATTGAAACTCATTTCGGCATGTCCAGACCTAGGAGATCAAGGACTTCCAATCGCAAAGCTCACACATTCCTTATCTTGTCCTGGCGTACCAACAGAGTTTCAAGAACCGGTCTGCATTCATAGATTGACTAGATAAGATAAGAATGGATAAAGAGATACATCTTGGTCCATAGTGGAGTCTCCAAGACAAGTCAAGCGACAGACAAGAAGACATTTTCCGTCACTGGAGTCTGATGACAATTCTGTTGTAACATTGTAAGTTATGGGAACTTCACCAAGTTCTCATGTAGGAATCAGTAGTGTAAGCTTCCTCGATTTAGTTGAAAGAGAGATGATTGAAAGGAATACCAGAAAAACGACTCATACACTCATACCTGTATAGATCCACTCAGAACTTCGGTGTCGGTGTCACAAGCACTAGAGCTCGAGGTTACCCTAGGTTTCACCGCACTTCCCATGGCTTCTTCTTGATTTTCGTTGGCCCTGGGGTTAAATCTTCGTCTCGAATTGATGAAATACTTCTAAATGAGCAAAGAAGATGACAGTTTCGACGGCTAATAATTAAATAAATTACAATTCTTAATTGAGCGATCTAGAATTCGGGCACCGGCGTGATTGCGCGGGATAATGCATTGATCAAGTGGGCATGGCCGCCATGTTGAATCCTACAGCTGGACAAATATCGAATATCGTATCGAATGCGACTATTCGATTATCGCACTATCGATTCTTTACCATAGCTTCTAACGGGGACGTGGCGCTATTTGATCATTCACAAAAGTTGGCAAGAAATCCGTCTCTCAGCAGTCTCAACCACTGACTCGGTTTTCGCCCCGGCTCGGCTCATCCGGGAAAAAATGCCCCCATCGCCTATTACTTGTTGCGGCTATGTTCCACTCGTTCCTGGGGATTTCGTGCTAAAACCAAAGTATTCCTGGGCTATTTTGATCGTAGAATTCATTTCTGACCTTACTTTTTTCAATAAAATGACGCAAATACACAATTTTACGCGTTCTTTCAAACTTTCCGGAGAAACATGAAAATTTATAACTTACTCAAAGTCAAAGATAAGTTTTACTCGTTCTTATTTTCGTGTTGAAACTCGGTATCCTAGGGGACTTTTGATCGTAGATTTCATTTTTGACCTTAATTTTGTTGATTTGTTGACACAAATATATGATCTCGGCGGTAAAAAGAAAAGGTACTCACCCTAAGATTGTACTCGTCCTGGTAGACATTTCGTGTTGAAACTTCGCAAATTAATGGTGCTTTGATCAAAAAATGAATTTATGACCAAACTCATCCTAAAATATATGATGACACAAACGATGATGACAAATTAAGGGGGGGNGGGGGGGGGGGGGGGGGTGTCAGTGGCGTGCGGTCCGGATAAGCAAGGCAAGCACTGCTTGCCAAAATATTTCAGAAGAAAGAGGAAAATTACACTTATTAGGTGTTTTAAATTTTAACAAATATTATTGATGAAATGTAGGTATTAGTAGGTAAATTGCATTAAGAACAGAAAGAGAGAGATGCAGAAATACGTACATAGCAGCCACGAAACTCGAAAGTAGGAAAGCGGCAAAGCGGACGGTGTGGTGGCACCAGGCGCCAGAGCGCTGCGCGGCCTGAACACGGCACGGGCCAACTCATGCCCTGGAGAATCGGTTGCTAGACTGCTCGGCGGCGGAATCACGGCGGGGAGAGCGGTACGTTCCCAGTACGAGAGCTTCGCTGATTTTGACTCCGATGCGCCCGCGCCGTCCTGTTCCCTCTTCCCGTCGTGGTTGCGCTTGCTCCCTTCGGAGCAAGTTTCCTCCATTTCAATAATATGTCGCTCACTTGGATCTAATTGGTGATGAATATAAGACATTTCCCAAGCATGTTATAAACGCAGAGAGATGTTTTTTTGAGAAATTTAAATAAGGAACTCAAAAAATTCTAAACGCTGTAGAGTAACGACTGGATACGGCTCAAATAAGTGGCAAATGATCATAAATAAGAGAGAATGAAATGAAACCATTGTTTTTCAAGATTTTCCATCAGATTTCATCCTAAAAATAGAGTAAATTGAGGTTCGCGAGGATCTAAATTTTAACAATTTTCAAAGGCTTTCTCGAGGCAAAGGGGGCTATAGGCTACGTTAAACTACCACCACCGCCCCCTAGATCGCTAGAGCTTGCACGGGGGGGGGGGGGGTATATTTCTAAACTTTTAGTATCAGAGTGAAAAGAAGTTATTCAAAGAGAGATATCACTAGTTCCGGTTGAAAATGCACGTTGAATTTTTGATACTTGATGGTATGGTATGTTCATCGAAAATCCCATTTTTGACCTTACTTATGGTTCACATCAATAGATACGCGATTTTTCAGCCCCATCTCACTCCCTTAAGACTGCACTTGTCCCCTCCCACCACTTTTCGAGTCATTTTGATACCATCTCTACTTACTTACCCTTTTCCACCCTTAGATGCCTTTCATTATTCAAGGACAACTCGACTCTTTTTCAGCCCTTTTCTATACTAGACCCAATATGAGAGTCGGCTGAGAAGAGCACAATCCCAGGAAGCAGTGCTTTGGAGACTCGTGGGTAAGATAACTCTTAAACCAATGCAAAAGGGCGGACACATATGTATAACGAACACTTTCATTAAAAAGTATTGATAGAACATGTATAGTATAGGTAATACTTAATGTAGGTACTCTCCATCAATATGTCTATTTGTGTGAGCTAGAATGAAAACAGCTTTTTTCCAACCCCAACCAACAACTCATAAACTCCACGAATGATACATTTCGGTCAAACGAGCAAAAGTAAGGCCAAAATTGACCTCTACGATGGAAATACTGTAAGTTTATCAAGTTTTAGATTGAAATTCCAACTGATCGTTTCAGTGGCGTGGCGTCCATAGGTTCGTAGTGTTCGCCGAAAACCCTAAAATATTTTGGAACAATTAATAAATTATGGTTAAGGATGTGGGAAACTTCCGACAGCGGCATGCGGAACGGAAAGAGAAAATCCTGCGGCACGCACGGGGTTCACACGACCGGAAACCGGACCCGGATTTGAGCGAGAGGGGGACCTGCCCGTTGCGCCGCGCGGCGCGGGGGGCAGAGCGTCTGTCGAAGGAGAGGAGGGAGAGAGATACAGGAATGTGAGTCGGAAATATAAGGAGTGGGGGTAAGTTGAGCTCGTAGCCTGCCGGCAAGGCGAAACTATCAACGGCTCCCCAGCCCCAGCGGGCCAGCGCTGAGCGGCGCGGCGCGAGGAAGAACCTCCTATCTCCCATGCATTAGTATAGGGAGAAACAACTTTTCTCTCTTTTGGGCTTCAGCGGCGTTATTTTCGAAATTTGACTTTTTAGACTTGTAAAGGTGTTTCTTAGCTTTATTCTTGCCAAGTGTGAGGGAAATCCCTCCGACAGTTCTTTTTTTTTGTAAACAATCGGAAAATCTCGTTTTTGAAATCTCGGTAAAGTGTCGCTTTTAATATATAATTTTTCAAACATGTTTAGCGTAGGTAAGCTATTGACTATCGACGGTGTAAGTCGGCAATCACATAACTCGGTTTGCGACGTAGCAGACTTCCGGTCTTACTTTATTTTTTCAACGGAAAACCACATCTTGCCAAGAGGTCTAGCCTCGTGCGGCAAAAGTATTTCTGCAAAAACTTCAAGGAATGATGTCAATTTGTTCTCCTTTAAAAAAATAACAAAGAGGCAGAGATTTTCAGACACCGCAAACGAGTTATGTGTTTGCCGACTTACACCGTCGCTATTTCAAAGGACCCCGCACACCTCTTATGGGAAGCTGCACCACGACCGATTGCCTTCTGACTTATGTACTTCGATTCTCCTCAAGATGCTGATCAAAAGTTATAATTGCGCCAACTTTCTACGATGCACCGTTTTCGCAAAAAAGCTAAGTGAAGATTCAATTATTCGGCGACTATGAATAAAAAAGAACAAAGCATTTGAGAACTATAAGGAAAAAACGTACCTAGCGCGTGTCCGTCTTCTTATCTGTACCTGCCGACTCTAGGGCTATCCCCCTCCTCCCACTCTCGATGCGTCCGTTTGACGCATTTGACGCTCGTTATTTCCTGTTCATATGCTCCTCACGAAATTGGCGGTGTTGCCAATTTATTTTTTTAAAACCATCATTAATGAATGTATTTGTGCTAAAGTGAACTACTTACATGCATAGCTAAATCAGTGGCGTGGCGTGAATTGCGATATATCGATTGATACGTAATTTAAACCTATGGTAAAGAATCGATTGTTAAGGTGTTCGCTGCGAACACCCTGTTTATCGATCCTTTTCCATTCGTTTAAATGGCGTAAAAATCGATAAATCGCAAAGCACGCCACGCCACTGAATGGAATAATACGCTGTCACAATATGTTGCTTCCTAGATCAGTATCGGTGCCTCGAAGAATTGAAGGCCTCTCCTCCTTCAATCCTTCAACAAGCTCTATCACAACCGCTGAATTAATGTAAACGAAAATGAAACTAAAAATTATTAGTGAAACCAGGCAACGTTGGATGTCGATCACTGATCAACGATTCAGAGACATGGGGAAGAGGTGAATAGAGCGGTAGAGAGAGAGGAACTGATTTGGATGGTCGAGGAAAACGGCGTGCGGAATCCGAGACAAGACTGCCTGTCGGTGCGGGAGTTCCCCTGATTTGTTCACTCGAGTACTGAAATGAGGAATCTTTCTGGCTTTTTATCGCCAAATAATTGAATCTTCACTTAGCTTTTTTGCGAAAACGGTGCATCGTAGAAAGTTGGCGCAATTATAACTTTTGATCAGCATCTTGAGGAGAATCCAATGAGAGTCAGAAGGCAATTCCTCGTGGTGCAGCTTCCCATAAGAGGTGTGCGGGGTCCTTTTCAATGATGGAAGCTTACTGCCTTGCTGCTTACTTGCTTGTTCGATGATGTAAGGATACTGCTGAGTCTTCATGTGCTTTTGTTCCTGTGCTTAAATCGATTAATAAAATGTTTAATAATGGACGCACGAAATAGCTGATAGGAAACTTAATCGTAAAGTGTGAGTATACTTTCGTTTTAATTTTTGATCGTTTCCTTTAAAATTTTAAGTTTGAATGCTGCCATGACCAGGGATTGATAGTAGGTAAACAAAACAAAGCATTCAAGTCGCAATGACCGAGTTTCATTCTGAGCCCTGGTTCACCATTTTTGCGTATTATACTATAGCTATTAATACAATGGCCGGCCATTGCTAATGAATGAGATATTTGTATGTTACATATCGACGGTGAAACTACCAGACCACGTATCTCGTTTGCGTTGTTTAAAAATCTCCACTCACACTTTAATTTTTTTGAAGGAGATCAAATCAATATCATTCCTTACAATTTTCACAGATTTTTCTCCGCACAAAGAGGTAAAATCACGGAAGTTTTCACGAATTGACGTTGAGTAGTTTTCTATTTAAAAAATAAAGTATGACAGGAAGTCTGCGACGTCGCAAATCGAGATACGTGGTTTGGTAGTTTCACCGTCGATATGCATATGCACTCGCGAATGTCTGGCTCTCAAACGGCTCATGTTTCGGAGGGAAAATTTTCCATGTTTCGTACAGCCTTCTTTTGCTTCTCAGCCAATTTTTTCAGCAAGCTGTTATTGTCCGTAGCATTATGCTGTTGTTCTGATCCGAAGGTGAGCACTGAGCAGAGCATGCGTGAGATGGCCCGTGCCGTGTTCAGGCCGCGCAGCGCGCTGGCGCCACCACACCGTCCGCTCTGCCGCTTTCCTACTTTTGTAGCTGCTATGTACGTATTTCTGTCTCTCTCTTACATTTGATCAATAATATATTAGCTAAAATTTAAAACATCTAATGGGTGTAATTTTCCTCTTTCTTCTGAAATATTTTGACAAGCAGTGCTTGCCTTGCTTATCCGGACCGCACGCCACTGACACCCCCCCCCCAATCATGTGTTATCATCGTTTGTGTCATCATACATTTTAGCATAAGTTTGGTCATCTCATAAATTCATTTTTCATCAAAATACCATTAGTTTGCGAAGTTTCAACACGAAATATCTACCGGGACGAGTACAATCTACGGTGCGAGTACCTATTTTCTTTTTACCGCCGAGATCATGTATTTGTGTCAACAAATCAACAAAAGTAAGATCAACAATGAAGTCTACGATCAAAAGTCCTCTGGGATACCGAGTTTCAACACGAAATGCCCACAAGAACGAGTAAAACTTATCTTTGAGTAAGTTATAAATTTTTATGTTTCTCCGGAAAGTTTGAAAGAACGCGTAAAATTGTGTATTTGCGTCATTTTATTGAAAAAAGTAAGGTCAGAAATGAATTCTACGATCAAAATAGCCCAGGAATACTTTGGTTTTAGCACGAAAGCCTTAGGAACGAGTGGAATATAGCCGCAACAAGTAAGGCGATGGGGGCATTTTTTCCTGGATGAGCCGAGCCGGTGCGAAAATCGAGTCAGTGGCTGAGAGACCGGAGAGACGGATTTCTTGCCAACTTTTGTAAATGATCGAATAACGCCACGTCCCTGTTAGAAGCTATGGTAAAGAATCGATAGTGCGATAATTGAATAGTCGCATTCGATACGATATTACGAAGCGCTCGAACTGGGAACGTACCGCTCTCCCCGCCCGCCGTGATTCCGCCGCCGCGCCGAGATGGCGCCGAGCAGTCTGGCAACCGATTCTCCAGGGCCGAGTTGGCCCGTGCCGTGTTCAGGCCGCGCAGCGCTCTGGCGCCTGGCGCAACCACACCGTCCGCTTTGCCGCTTTCCTACTTTCGTGGCTGCTATGTACGTATTTCTGCATCTCTCTCTTTCTGTTCCTAATGCAATTTACCTACTAATACCTACATTTGATCAATAAGATTTGCTAAAATTTAAAACATGTAATAAGTGTAATTTTCCTCTTACTTCTGAAGTATTTGGGCCAGTGGCGTGCGGTGGGTTCAGTGACAGGGCAAGCTGTAGCGTTCGCCATCGGGGGGGGGGGGGGGGGGGG